TGCCCCATGTAAAAGGCTTCCCATGCCGGGAATCGAACCCGGGCCGCGTGGGTGAAAACCACGAATCCTAACCACTAGACCACATGGGACACACTCCCATCATCAGTATTGAGACCCATCATCGTTCATACCTTCAAACTGCTACGAAAATAATGGAAAAGCACCTAGGGAAGCCACAGGCAAAGCAGTTCATGTTTCTGGTGTCCCTTATTTGTCTGCCCCATGTAAAAGGCTTCCCATGCCGGGAATCGAACCCGGGCCGCGTGGGTGAAAACCACGAATCCTAACCACTAGACCACATGGGACACTCTTCTTTCAACAGTATTGAGCCTCATCATCACAATGTATTGATTATACGAATGTTGTCGGGTTTCGAACCCCTGTAGCTCTTTTGAATCTGGCGCGTGGGTTCCTTGTTTTAACACAGTTGGAAGGCACGAGCCCAGAAAGGAACAACCGAAAAAGCATTTTCAATCTTTACTTTCGTATTTCAGGTCGGTTCCCTACTTTGTATTCTGGTGTTCACAGGTCTGAAACCAATCATTTCGTTTATGTTTGTATGCCCCTTTCTGTCGATGGTCGGAATTGGAGAAACGTTATTAGCCAACGTATCGAGTTTTATCCTGGTTCCTTGTGCGGAAAGGTGTGATATAGTTGTTCAATGTTATTCTTGATTTGCTATCTCTAGGCTTGTCCCGCTCTTGATTTCAGTGGAAAAGGTTTGGATGTCATTTCGAGACCTGAAGAATTTGGAGTTAGTAGTCGCTTGGTGGTTGGCGAATCATATTACGACTTACAATGTAAACCAGGTTTGTTCGCAATGATTATAAATGATGATCCTCTGTCTAAGGTCATAAATATAACTCGTCAGTGCACGATGTTTCTGGGAAGCAAGTACTTTTCTGTGACCCAAAAACCGGGAGTTACATAGATTTCACAAATAACAACAAAACTCAGGTTCATCTGGAGGAATGCAATCAGATCAGTTGTTTCTAGGCATTTGTTGAAGGTTGTAGTATGGTTTCTGGTAGTGGATGCCCTGATTTGAGTGTTCCAAATAGTGTTATAACATACAGTAACTGTGATAATGGATACAAAAGTGGTTGTAGAGTGACTATGAGTTGTGCAACGGGTAATTCGTTGTTTTCTGTTCTTCTACTTTTTTTTAGGATACATTCCTATGAACGTGAAGTATCATGAAACTGGTACACAAACATTAATTTGCTCCTCTGGCTCTGAATGGGAGGAAGAAAATGGTCAAGATAAACCAGCAATCTTGCAGTGTGTCGCTGCATGTAGAATGGATAACACAACAGTTAGTATTTTTCAAGACTTTGTTGTCTAAGTATAATCAGATTGATGCGAATGTACTGATATCTAGAAACACAACGAGAAAGTTTTTAGTGCTAGGTGTCACTTACATTTTAGAAGGAGATTCTGTCTTCATCAAATGCCGTGGGGATTGTGCGTTGTTTTCACGATGATGATATATTAAGAAGTTCTTCCAGCTATTATTTGGGAACAAAATATTGAACTCACTCAACAAGAGCATCTTTTCGTTTGCGGTGGAGGACCACTCGGTTTTATTCGAAATGAGGACCACATGTCCACTGTTCAACTTGGCGAAGGATGTGTTCCAACCTGTTCATCTCTACCAACATCGAATTTGGGCAATTTGAACCTAGTCGTAAATGTATGTTCTACTTATGAACTATAGGAAAACAAACATTCAAGATTCCCACAATCGTGCAGTATCTCGGGAAGTCCTTAGTTGCTAACGGTTTGGAGTATACTTTCAGTTGCAAAGAAAGTTCGAGAAGGAAGCTTTTGATATTGTTTAACTGGCAACTATTAAGATTATATGTATCCGAGTGGAAGCTCTCCTTCTCTAACTGGGTTAGAAAAATTCCGTTGTGATGGTATCAATGGGGAGTTTATCAATTCAGTCACCAATCAAGTGTATCACGCACCAACAGCGTGTACGCGAAGTACTTATCTCGATGAATGTATTGTACGTTCAATACAGAGAATAGAATTCAAGCAGTTATTATTCTCAGAAATTGATATCAGATGAATCTAGAGTAATTCAAACAATATATCAATGTCATGATGCTGGTGATAATTTCTATCGCGCAGGATGCTCTATTACATCAAAGTGTTTACCGAGTAGGTTTCGATAACTCAGTTTTCATCTCTAATTTATAAACAAAAACTTATAACTGATTTTTAGATTTTATGCCTGAATCCAATACTTATTACATTCCTTCTGGTGAACAGAAAATAATTTGTGGGGATGGAGGAGCAGGATGGAGAGACCAGTTTGGAAACATTGTTTAGAACAATCTCGTGAAAAGTGTAAATTAATTCATTTTTCCAGATATCGGAAGGCTTCAAGTGCGTACCTGGTTGCAAACCATATGAAAATTCTCATGAATATATACGTATACATGAGAAAACCTTTTACATAAACGGATTGAAGATCGAATGCAAAGAAATAGGTTTTCATCCACATCAAAACCTTTCGAACGCCGAAACTTTTTTCAGATGTCATAAAGAATCAAACAAGCTCTCATAATCATCCTTATTTCTGTGAAGACAATAGTTCTAACAACTCAACCGACAAAGGATGTACCAATGCTTGTAAGCAGATTGTAACTCTCCCCGCTGGTGTTGAAATTTTCAAAGTTCTAAATATCATAAGACTCGTAGATCAACATACTTTCCAGAACCCAGAGCCGAAACAGTTAGAGGAAGGGTATCCGTATATTGCTGGAAACTCTGAATATGTTCTCCGTTGTCAGAATGGGTTCACTTATGAATCAACTTCGAGTCATTCGAGTTTGGGACGCCAAACTCTCCGTTGCAATCCAACAACAAATCAGTATGATGACATTGACACGAATATAACAAATGCCAGGATTGAGTCTTGTGTTGAATCTCAAGGGTGTCAAGTTATGACCCTGGTGATCACAACAACTTATTCGAAAAAAGTGATAAATACGTTTTTAGCCACCCAATGTATTAGAAACTGTTCAAAGTTCCGGATGTACTCGAACCGCAGGCTTCTTTAGCAACGGTTGTACAATCACTTATCAATGTACACCTGGTAACTTAGGACAGTTTCATGAAAAGTATATTTCTATGGAAATTTAAGGATTTTTCCCGAGCGATCGCTATACACTATATTTCGGATCACAAACAGCTCAATGTTCTAGTTCAAATAAAACTTGGTTAGATAGAGATGGAAATCCATTCACATCTGTGAGTTTGATCTTTACGACATCTTATATCCTGTTCCAGATAACAACATGCTCTTACGGTTGTGCAAATTTGAATCTAACTGAACTGGTGACTTTGCAGTATGAATCCACGGAAATATTTTATGAAACGTTTTCCGACTTAGAGGCGGACGATTTTGAATGCTATTCGAGTGAGCTTTCTTGAACTGTTATATCTGAGAAAAAATACATTTCAGGATCAATGTACACAACCTTAATCGAAGTTATACAACAAGTGAGGCGCAACAGCTATATTTGTCCAAAGCAGACTCATACCAATCAAACTCATATAAGCGGAAACCAAGAATTGTTATGCAAAGATGCTTGCCCAGTTCTTCTATCCAGTGGCTTGCCAGAAGGTGTTCAGTTCTCAAAAGTGAGTATAGTGATTCATTCTTACTCAAAATTTATGAAACACAGAATCCAATAGTATTCAACCCGTATAATCAAGCAGCGTTTCTTGGAATCAACAAAACAGTTGTTTTGCAATGCCAAACGGGATATGAATATTTGACTGGTAGCGTATATTCTTCTGCTCGTAAACAGGAGTTTCTATGCGATTCATCTTTGAAATATTTTGATATACAAGCGAACACCTTCAACTCTGTCATACAGCCGTGTACACAAGTAATGAAAAATTTGAAAGAAATCATTTCTATACTCTCATTTCAGGTATCAGGAGCCCAAGCTCCAGCTGCTTCAAATGTTAACCGAACAAAGGATATCAATTGTGAAGAAAGCAACGGTATTTATAGAGTAGGATGCAAGCTGACTGTGAAATGTATAGAAGGTAAAACCATTTCATCTAGAAGTTAACAACTGGCTTCAAATCGTTAGGAGCTTACCCGAGCAATCCATTGTATTTCCAACTGGCCGAGCAAAACCTTGAGCTAATCATGGATCCCGTCGTAGGGGTCGTTTGGGTCGATAGTATAACCAGAACAAAAGTTGATTATCTCTCCTGCTCCCTGGGATGTTTACCATTATCTATTATAAATCTGAATATCACAACTACCACTTCAATTGCTAGATATGGAAGCGTTACAGCGAGATGTCAACTTAGTATGCTAGAAAGTGAAAAATAACAGATAAAACTAAATATTTAAGAAAGCGAAGACCTGTCCATCGGATTGTTGCCCAATGGCACGGCAAGATACTTCTGTGAACTTCAAGGAGGAGGAACACATGTTAACACTACATCTCCTTGTACGAATGTTTGTGAAATTCCTAACTATGACAAAACTCTGACAGTTCGAGTAGTTATGGTGGGCAATCTGTATTGTATAATCTCTTCATAATATTTTTCTTAGCCAATGGCTGTACCATTCTCACAATACATGGTACTCACTTCACCTATGAGCGCTTTGTGTCCTCCAGGTATAATCTTAAAAGTAACCAGAGCTATGATCATTGTTTTCAGGAAAACAGTGGCCTAGTTTGGGACAAGCTCAGAGAGGACTAGTTTGCAGTGAAAACAACGAAGTTAGAGACAGTTTGACCAATACAATTGTGCGATACATAACTGACACATGTGCATAACAAGAAGAAAACCTCACCAATCTTTATATATTTTTACTGAATTAAATGAATTCGTTTCCGTCAAATTTTAAACAGTTCTCCTATCTCAGCATTCGGAAAAGTGGCATGAAATTAGTATCTTCAATTATGAAAAAGGAACTTTCGCCTTTGAAGATCAAATCTAAAGGCGGCAGTTTATAGAGCGATTCGGCGCCAGAAAAGTGTTCAAAGTTAGCGAGGATATTGCTCACTTTTATTTATAGTATATTAATGTTGTGTAAATTAATTTAATATATATTAGTTGAAGAATGGGACTATCAACTTCAAGAGTTCAGTCGTTATCTTCAACAGCATTTGATGTAATTAGACTGGGAAAGAAACAAGTAAGTCAGTAAGTAGGATTGATAAGATTTTCCCTAAATTTCAGTCCTCGAAAACGTACACAATGAATGCAGCCGAACGAAAAGTAAAAAGATCCCAAACGATGAAAACTGAGGCCAATAGTAAAGTGAGTATTACATGCAA